CATTGAAAGTCTGTAATTTAAAATGTCCCACCTGTGCCTTTTTTTTTTTTTTTTTAAACATAACCACTTTGGGACAGTGAAAGCTATATGTCTTCTCCTTAGGGTTGTGACGGAGCCTTTGGGGACCCTCAACAGCTTACTTCCAGTTTCTGTCTGGCATGTTGATGGGCCGAAAATTATTTTTAACAACATTCTATCACATTCCAGGCACCTGGAAGGAGGAATATGTTAAACTTCTAGGAAATTATTTTTTGGAATAACCCATTTAAAAATTGAATGACTTTTATGGTTGACTTTTCCACTCTACATAATGCAAACTGACTCATTGTTTTCAGCTGCTTCTGCAGCAGTGGGAAGAGCAAGCTGGTTGGTGTCCTCCCCAGGTTGGCCCCAGCACAGAGCTGCATCATTCTACACACCCCTCATGCCTTGTCTCCTTGTCTGTGAGGTGGTAATGAGGGTGCAGGGAGCTCCGGGGGTTGTCATGAAGGTTACAGAGATGGGGGGTGTGAACTTTGAACAGTGTGCCCGACATACAATGCAGACCTGGTTAGCAGAGGCAGCTGCTCACGTTAATTGTTGATGCCAAGGCACTGGAGTTCCACAACAACCTATGCCTTTCTTTCCTGGGTCCTTTTTGTCTTAGCCACCACCTTAGAGAAAATGACTCAGCAAGGCTGGTGCTTGTGGAACCCTCTACAAAGCCAGCTAATTCACTTGGGTGATGCCCTGGAGATTAGGGGGTTTTCCTGGGTGATAGGACCCCATTTCAGAGGCTTAACTAGCTGGTTTCTCTTAACTGGTCCTGTCCTATAGGGTAAAGATGAAAGCCTGCCAGGAGACTGATGGTCTCACCAGAATTTTCCACAGGAAGCATGAAGGACCTCATGGGGCCTCGTGCAGAAGGACATGGGTGTTAGAGAGAGAACAGGTGGGACATCGCCTGTACCATCATGGGCAGGTCACTATATCTGGCTCAAGCCGGCTTTCTTCCCATCTGGGAAATGGCAGAAGACCATGCTTTTTCACAGGAGGGATGAGGGTTTAGGGAGGTATTTGATGACTGTGTTGGGGCTGCGTGAGTAGCAGAGTTGACCAAGGGGCCTTGGAGTCACAGACTTGAGTTCAGGCCCCCGCTGCTGCCACATAAAAGTAGATCTCTTGGGTAAGCCATGGACCTCAGTGTCCTCCTCTGTGCGCTGGGGATAATACCTAGCATGTAGGTCTGTGAGGGATACAAAGCAGAAGGCCATATTAGGAGCTTAGAGCAGAGCCTGGTACTCACTAGATTGTAGTTTTATGGTGATACTCTGGCATCATTGGTGTTGCAGACCTGGTCCTACCCTCTGGAAGCTTTGGCTGTGTGATAGATGGCTTCTGAGGCTGTGGCTGACAGAAAGAAGCAGTGTCTGTCTTAAGATTAAGGGTACAGAGGGGCGCCTGGTGGCTCAGTCATTGAAGCATCCAACTCTTGGTTTCAGCTAAGGTCATGATCTCAGGGTGTTGGGATTGATCCCTGAGGTGTGCTCTGCTCTCAGTGTGGAATCTGCTGGAGGTTCTATCTCCCTGTATTTGTGTGTGTGCGCTCTCTCTGTATCTCTGTCTCTCTCTCTCTCCCTAAAATAAATGAATCTGTAAAAATAAATACATACATACATAAATTAATTAATTATGGGTACAGAAATCAGTGATGGAGCTGGGCTGATGGGACCCTTGGCAGCAAAGACAGGTGCACCCAGCTTGAAGGCTCGGGGGTAGCTGTGGTGTTGCCAGTGGTGATGGGGTTGTGAGGAAGTTGCCTCGTGCAGCATCCAGAGAGGAGCTTAGATGGGGAGGGCTCCAGGGAATAAATGCCCATGGGCAGGAAGCATCTTCAGGCAGATGAGTGTCAGAGAGTGTCCTCGTGCCTGGGGAGCATCCTTTCTCCCTGAAGCTGCCCATGAGTGGAGGTGTGCCTGCTGGGGACATAACTAAATCATTGGGGTTTACCCTCCTAAGCTGTTATATGAAGATGTGGCCAGACCTTGTCCCACTGCTTTTTAAAGAGAAGTAAATTAAACTGTTGTTTGGGATGGCGTTGTCTTCCAAAGGCTCATTCAGAGTCAGTGACAGAGCTGCTGTGGGCTTTCCAACTTGTCTTGAAAGCCTGGTCCAGGCAGGGTGCGGGATATTTCCATCTCTTGGGGTCTCTTACCCTCTCTGCTTGTGGCAGAACGTGGTTTTGTGACTTGTAAATAAATAAACAGGCATCTTGTGCAGATCCTTCAGCTCTTTGTGTGGCTGTGGTAGAGGAAATTTCCACTCGCTGGGCACAGACTGTGGTTGGACGGGCGTTATGCCAGGGCTCTCACCGAGCATTCTCCTTTCATGTAATCCCCGACCAGACATGAGTTTTGTGGTGTTGACACTTTCCTGCTGACCAGGAGGGAAGTTGAGGCCCAGGAAAGTTACACTTTCTCACTATGGTAAGCGGCAGAGCCATGTCAGCCGGTCCAGGCCCTGGCTTTCAGGTCTGTTTGCTGTGAGCATTTCCTCTGGTGTTTCCAGCTTTTGGCCTGTTTGACCTGTCAGACTATTGATGGTGTTTTGATAATTCTAATAACTCTCGACATTGTGAGAGAATAGCTCTTCGCTTTGTGCTAGAAATGTTTCTTGCTGTATTTTCCTTTTAATTAAAAAAAAAAAAATCAAAGTCCCAAGTTTCTGCCCATTTGAATCTCCCTGAGTCTGCCTGTTGTGAAGTGGTTGGGTTTGGGGATTTCTAGGGCAGGGGCCTTGACATAGTTGGTGGTGGCTTTGCCTGGAGGAGCCCATGGGGACTGGAACAGTGTGAACTGTGGCCTGAAAATGTGTTCATGTGTGCTGAGGTGGTGCCCAGATTCTTTTGGAGGATGAACTGAGGTTTTGCTCAGTAGGTTAGAGAAACACTTGATGGAATAACACTGATAATTTTGTTTTTGTATTCAATCCTAATTTTGTGTTTTTGTTTTGGTGTAGTGCAGTGTGCTCTATGTTCTAAGAAAAAATTGGTAATCAATTCATACAGTATCATGATTTAATAATCCTTCCTCACTCACTGGGTCATATTTCAGGTTTTTATATATAGTTCCATCTTTTTCCGAATTCTGCATTTTGATTCATTCCTTCATTTTTAAATTTCTTATTTTAAAGATTTTATTTATTTGAGAGAGAGAGAGAGAATGAGCTAGGGGCAGGGGCAGAGGGAGGAGAGGAAGACTGCTCACTGAGCAGGGAGCCTGATGTGGGGCTCAGATCCCAGGTCCCTGAGATTAGGACCTGACCCAAAGGCAGATGCTTAACAGACTGAGCTACCCAGGTGCCCCCACATTCCTTCATATTTTTCTTTTTCCTCCAGTGCTGCACAGTTTGACTGGTTGCTTTGATTTCTGGGAGGGAGAGAGGGAGGGAGATGACCCTCTCCCCTGTTCTTCTAACAAGTTTGCTTTTGCTGTGTTGACTGGAGAAGGGCCAGGCTTCCTGAAGGTGAGTAGGATGGTTCAGTGACACCCAAAAGGCAGTGGCTATCATTGTTCCCTCTGTGCTTCTAAACCTTCACCCACTCACTCTTTGATGATGGCAGCCACCAGCAAATCTCCTGAAGAGGACTGCTGCCTTGGGATGCTTTTCTCGTGGTGCTGGACTTCATTCCCCCTGGGCAGCCATTACAGCTAGGATTAGAACCTAGGAAAAGTCCCATTAGAACCCAAGAAAGTGGGGCGCCTGGGTGGCTTAATCAATTGTCTGCCTTCAGCTCAGTTCATGGTCTTAGGGTCCTGAGATCAAACCCTGCACTAGTGTCCATGCTGGCTGTGGAGCCTCCTTAAAAATCAAACAAATAAAAATCAGCCCAACACAAAGGATATTGTTCTATACTGTGGATCAGATTTTATTTTTCTTTTTTTCTTTCTTCTTTCTTCTTTCTTTTTAAAGATTATTTATTTGTCAGTGAGAGAACACAAGCAGGGCGAGCAATAGGCAAAGGGAGAGACAGGCTTCTGGTTGGGCAAGGAGTCTGATGCAGGACTTGATCCCAGGACCCTGTGATCATAACCTGAGTCATGTTAGGCTGCTGCCTAACAGACTGAGCCAACCAGGCATCCCCCGGGATCTGACTTCAATAACCCTACTAGATTTCTTTAGTTTTGACATTTTAAAGGACAATGGAAGGTAGCTAAACCTACACCAGGGTTCTCCATCTGCTGGGGCTGTGCTGTCCAGGCCTGTGTACCTCCTACCCCATCAATTCCACCCATGTTTTAGCCAGAGAACTGTAGGCAGGTGTGTGTGTGTGTCACCGAAAGCTTTGACTCGTCATTCATCTTTATTGGTCTTTATTTTTCCTTTTTTTTTTTTTTTTTGGTAAGATTTTATTTATTTGTTTGTTTGTTTGTTTGTTTATGAGAATGAGTGGGGAGCAGAGACAGAGGGAGAAGCAGACTCCCTGCTGAGCAGGGAGCCTGACATAGGGCAAGATCCCAGGACCCTGGGATTATGACCTGAGCCTAAGGCAGATGCTTAACTGACTGAGCCACCCAGGTGCCTCTTTATTTTTCCTTTATTGATTATCTGCCTTTCTGAGGCAGCCTTCTACCTGGGTTTTCATAACTCCACACTAAGCTATTCATCCACTAGTTGTGGCCTGTTTTCGGGTCATTTCTATACATTCTGGCTGTGCTGCTAAATGATGCTATGATTTTGTACTTATTTTTTTTTACCTCTCTGAGCCTTGGTTTCCTCTGTGGTAATGGGGATAATATGCCCTCTCTTGTAGATGTGTGGAAGGCCATGGCTGACTTGGATGCTGTTGGGGTCATCTCACGGCACATGGCATACACAATTTATCTTGCTTCCTGTCTTGATAATGACATCTTGGTTTTCATGCTGTCTTAGAACAAGTAGAACGTGACTTACATGTAGGTTGTGAATTCACGTACTTTTGACAGAGGTGTTATTTTAGTTTAGTTTAGTTTAGTTGTAAGCAGGCTCCACGCCCAGTGCAGAGCCCAGTGTGAGACTCAAACTCACCACCGTGAGATCAAGACCCAAGCTGAGATCAAGAGTTGGCCGCTCAACCAGCCTAGCCACCCAGGCATCCCTTCTGTTTATCATTTTTCAAAAAATGTGAAAAACAAGTAATACTTTCTCTGCCTGGACCTGTCCTCACACCTGCTATGCTGGCCTGGGGGTCATATGTGTAACTGGTGTGGTGCTGGTGATGATGAGCAAGACAATGGTTAAATCTTTTTACCCTAGCTGTTGTCCTATTATTTCACTTTTTTTTTTTAACATTTTATTTTATATCGTGGTGATATATGCTAAAACTGAAGCTTCTGGTCCTGCATTAAAACTTGGATATGTAGGGCATTTTTCAAGGATTCATCCCTGGAAATACAGTATTTTTCTCTGTCTGACTTATTTTGCTTAGCACAGTACCCTCTAGGTACATCCATACTGTTGTTGTAAGGGCCTGATTGGCCAGAGGGAGCCATTTTGTTGTGGTGAACTTGTATTGACCCTGCCCCTCCCAGAGGAATTTGCTTGCAAAGCCTAAATACAAGGGCGGGGCAGGCCAAATAAAGACATCCAATCAGCGGGGCGCGCGTATATCCACTAGGGTGAGTTGAAATTCAATTGGCCACCTATGTGTGGGCGGGGTAGGCTGATAAAGACATCTAATTAGTGAGGTGCACATATATCTACTAGGGTAAATTGCAATCTCATTGGCCACCTGTGTATAGCCCGGCTAAACTACCTCTATAAAAGTTAACCTGTGAGGCTGGGAGGGGTCGCCTCTTTGCAAGAGACGGCCCTGAGTGGTCAGTTTAATTCTCGATGCTTGGCGCGAAATAAAGCTTTGCTTGACCTTCGCTTTGTATCAGTCTCGCTCCTTTGATTACAGACCCTAACATTGTAAATATCAGGATCTCATCCTTTTTGATGGCTGAGTAATATACCATTGTGTGTATGTACCACTTTGTCTTCTGTTGCTGGACACTTGGGCTGCTTCCATATCTTGGCTATGGAAAAAAATGCTGAAGTAGGCTTAGGGGTGCATCTGTGCTTTCAGAATGTTGAGTCTGATGTGTCAACTGCCACAACAGTCGTGGGAACTCAGGAAGGGAGCCAGATCCAGGGGTTAAGAGGAGGAGTGCAGCTTTAGGCGGTCTGAGTTGAGGTGGCTGTGGGACCCGCAGGTGTAGGTTCTGGTTGGACAGTCAAAATGTAGGGATGGGCGCTTGGGGGAAGAGAGATGCAATCATGCTGTTGCCAAGGGACATATTCCTTGTAGCAGAGTGACAGTTAAGGATTTAGGGTAATTCCTTCTTTTCTTGGGCAGATAAAGAGGAAGCATAAAGGAGTAGTGGGTGGAAGGGGAGCGCTGTGGCTTTGATACCAGGAATGCATTTTTGCACAGATGTCTAGAGAAGAGAGATTTCAAGGAATGAAATGTGAGCAATGTTCGATGATGCGAAAAGTTGCAGAGCAGCTTGATTAGGGGGTCCTAAGCCAGACAGAGAGATAGAGTGACTGGGCATGAGACCATGGAGGCCACACACAAGAATAGCCTTTTAGGAAGTTTGATGGTAAAGACAGATGATCATAACTCCAGGCATAGCTTGGTCAAGGGCGAGTTTTACAGGCTGTGTTTACCTATTTGCAGGTTGACTGAAGGGAGATGACGGATGGTGCATGGTGCTGGGGGATGTGGGTTGAGATGGGATCAGGTATACAGAAAAGCACGCAGAGAGGAGTGTATGGATGCCCTGACTGCTTCTGTAGAACCTGAGGCCAACATTAGGCATGGAGGGAATGGAACGTGGCTCAAGGAGATGTGCAGTCTCAGACACAGACCACATGGCTCAGAGTCTTACAGGGCTCTCCTTGCCTCTGCGTGGCCCTTCTCACAGGGTTTAAGTTTTGAACTATCCTTTTGTTGCTCTGGGTTTGGGGTGTGACTGGAGAGACAGAGCAGAGAGCAGGGGCTGAGGAAAGACCGAGAGGGCAGGAACTCACAGAGGGGAGTCTACTACCCTCTCTGCTTGCCTTGGTATGGGCTGTCTCCCGACCTGCATGAACGGATGACCTGCCATTACTTCTTTTAAATATGCATTTGGCTTTATCCTGCCAGAAAGCAACACATGTTTATTGAAGAATAGTTGGAAACCCCAGAAAAACCGAAAGACGAAAATAAGCACTCAGCTGAAGACAGCCATTCAAAAGTTCTGGCACCCTTTCCTCCCAACTTTCACTGAAGTTGAACAGATAAATGTGCACATATGAAGTGATTTCTGGGAAAGACCAAAAAAAAAAAAAAAAAAAGGATACCAACAACAAGGAAACAAAAAAGAGAACAAAGCAGAAGAAAATGGTGTTCATTTTCTTCCTGAGGCTGCCCTTTCTCCATACTGCTACTTGGTTTTACTACCTGCTTTTCTCCCTGGGCTTTCTTGACAAAACATGGCTCTACTACTTTTTCCTTCTTCAAAGTGTTTGACAGAGTCATTGGCTTTCAACATGGAGTTTGAGCAAAATGGACTATTGTTTTAAAATATTCTATCAGGTATGCTGTAATATCTCACCCCGGACATGATACAAATGCTATGATAAAAAGAGGAGATGCTTTGAAAGTGATCACCAGAGTTGTGAAATTCATTGGCATGATCCTTCTTTTGAGGGTCATAATTCATTTAGTTTTTTCTGCTCCAGATTAACCTTCACAATCTTCAGTTGTTATGTGCATTAGACACAGGATTAGCAGTAGTGGCAGTAAAAATACTCTTGTCACCCTTTTTACCATTTTAAATTTTTTTTACAATTTTAAAATTTTACCATTTTACTAGTGTCTCCTTACGACTGTAGCAGCTTTAAACCCTGTTTCCACCCTGTTCATTCCTTTAAATGCCTTTTCTCTCTGGCTTTCCTTAAAACCTTTTTCTTAGTTTTTGGTGTTCTGTAGCTTTACCACAAAATGTCTAGTTGAAGATTTCTTGTCTTGCTTGGTATCTGTGCATTTCCTGTATTTCTGGATTTATCATTTCTGTAAAATGCTCAGCTGTTTCTTCTGAAATGTTGACTCTGTCCTTCTGTGGTACTTCCCAGGATTCTTATTTAAACCTCCCATCTGTTGTCCATGTCTCTTGAGCTGGCATTCATCCTCTTCTCCTGCCTCCTTGTGTTGCACTCTGGGGAATGTCTTCACTTCTTGTGTGCAGTGCGTGAAGTCCTTCATCTGGGGCTCATCTACTGCCCCACCATTCTGTTGTGTTTTATGTCTCAGTGATTTTTGGTCCCTGTTTAACTTCCTTCAGTTCCATATTCACACTTGGCCTGTTGCTTTTGATAGGCTCTTGATCCTTCTTCATTTTTAACCTCTTTTGTGTTCTTAAACAATTAACATGTAATATTTCCTATTCTGTATCTGATCATTCCAGTGTCTAAAGTCTTCATTTTCCCTCAGTCTGCTGTCTCTCACAGTGGCCTCATTTCTTGCATGCTCTGTGATGGGATTTTGAGACCAGATTTATTGGAACATAGATGTAATCTCTCTTAATTCTGTTTTTTTCTGGAGGGTTTGTCTTTCCTTTGCCAGGAGGCTGGGAGTGTTCTTGGTTGGGATCACTTTGGTTCCATTTGAGGGTCCTGGTTTATTAAGGAAAGCTCAGGTTCAGTTCCCCCCAACTTACCGTGTGGTGGGAACTGGGGTCTGGAGGGCACAGACCTGTAGAGATCCTGCAGTGAAAATGGCATTTGTTCTCTGGCACCCTGATTTGTTTCTCTTGAGCTTGTTGCTGACAGATCAGGTTTTGGCTCACTTTGTCTGCCACCTTCCTTCTTCCTGCTTCCTTTCCTCCATTTTCTAAGTCCTTTGTTAGTTTTCCAATGTCCTCTAAAGCCCAGAAATGCTTTGTGAATTCCATTTACCATCACTAATTGCAAGTATCGTCCTGCAGCAGGAAGGCCAGAACCAGACATTGTAATCCTCTACCTCCCACAGAGGAGATTTTAAAACCCTCTCCTCGTGTCCAGAAATTCTAGATTAGGGATGGAATTATGGATACATTACCATCTACAGAGGATTAGTTGCCTATATAATGGAACCAAGTATGCATTATTCTAATCTTCCTAAAACTTCCATTTTGCACAATAAATATGAATGAATAAGGAACCTGCATTACTTTTGTTTATGCAGATGTTGTCTTTCCATCTCTGGCTTTAGAAGGCGGGTTGTAATTTGTATGGTTCATTCTGAAAATTGGGTAACTTCATTCTTATTTTCTACATGTTGGTGCCATATAAAGCGATGGCATATGGAGATTCAGAGGTAAATATTTATCAACATATAAATAATTGGGAAGGGCTTCCTTTACAAAAGGTAGAATTATTAAGACCTGTTTAATCACAGGAGGGATATCCTGTAAAGATAGCCCATAAATAAAAAGTGGATCAGAAGAAAGCAGAGAGGAGTTTGGAAGGAGCATGTGTAGGGACACCTGCTGCCTATCCCTGTAAGTCAGGGGCGATCTGGAAGGGAAACCTTGTTAAAGGAGGCAATAGTGTTGACATGTAATGAGCTACTGGAAACCTCACAGTGCTCTGGTGAAGCAAGTGGTGTGCAATCAAGGCTGCCAGCCCAGTTGAAGTTGCAGCTTCAGGCAGCAAGAGGGCAGGCCTTTCAGTCTGCCTTTATCTCCAGTGGGAACAACTTGTCCTCCTTGAAGTTGTCCTCCAGACATCTTTTCCTGTGGCTACACATCTGTGCATCACTGAGAATTTCTATGGTTGCTGCTTTATGGGGATGTTTGTCAGTTTTGTGTTTTGTTTGTTTGGTTTTATACCGAGGTTCACTTGCTAACTTTTCTCTTAAAAATATATTTCATCTAGGGGCACCTGTGGGACTAAGTGGGTTAAGCCTGTCTCTTCAGCTCAGGTCATGATCTCAGGGTCCTGGGATCGAGTCCTGCATCAGGCTCTCTGCTCGGCAGGGAGCCAGCTTCCTCCTCTTTCTCTCTCTCTCTTTCTGCCTCTCTGCCTACTTGTGATCTCTCTCTGTCAAATAAATACATAAATAAATAAATCTTTATATATATATATATATATGTATATATATATATATGTGTATATACACACACACACACACACACACACACACACACACACACACACACATATATTTCATCTATCATTGCCATGTATTTCAAATGGTAGTGGGGGATGATGGTGTGGGACCCCATAAAATGAATTTACACTGCCATCTTGACCACAATATAAGTGTTGTACATAGCTGTCCTGTGTCCCCTTTCCTTCTGAAATGGATTCTTTCTTCCCAGCTATTATCAATGGAAGACCAGGGTCTTTGTTGTTGTAGGTGACTTGTCCAAGATCTCACAGCTTTCGAGGTTTAACCTTTGGTCTGATTGTAGGACTCATTTTTTTTAACTCAGTGCCATGCAACCTACCATGTAGGAGTTTCAATACTCTCCTGCTTTTGAAGCTGTACTCCACAGGCCACGTCTACCAGTACGTATCTATTCTTGTCTAGTTCACTCACTTATTACCCACATTTACTGGATGCCAGCTACATGTTTCAGGCACCTTTCTAGGTGCAGGAGATATGGTGGTGGGCCAGTCAGACACAACCCCCTGCCCTCATTGAGCATGTTCCATTTCCTACTGCTGGAAGCATCCACCAGGAACAATGACTTATGCCAGAAGTCCAGCAATGACATGAATCCCAGAAAATTCTGAATGGCTCTTTGTGGAAGTGATGCTTTGTTGACAGCCCTTGAGGTAGCTCCCTGCACAGGCAAAAAGGAGGACTGATGTAGAAATGCCTGATGAATGGGCTTCAAGGTCAAATAACTGAGCCAGGTCTTTAAGGTCTTATTTAGCTCTGAGATTTTTCAAGAACTTTACATGATACATGTGCATATTATAGTGACATAACAAAAGCCCTATTCAAAGCGCACTGTAAATTGGAGGATGATTGTCTTTGCATTGTTTTTGTGATTAACTGACAGTTGATGATACAGGCACTGTTGTAAGTCACTTAACCCTGTGGCAGCACTTTGTGGTAAATTCTTTTATTATCCCCATTTTTCAGAGGGGGAGACTGATGCAAAGGAGAAGTTAAGTGGTTCTCCACTGGCCACAGCTAAGCTAGCAAGAAGCAGAGCCTGCATTGGAACCAGGCACTGTGGCTCCAGACCCCAGCTCTTCACCCTTGGGCTTCTTGCAGCACGCCTGCTTCCTTGTCACTAAGAACTTGGTGCAGGAATTTAACAGTACCTTTAACTTCTAGTTTTTCTTTCTCAGAACTGAATCTTCATTGCAGTGCATCTCTGCATAAACATGTGTTTAATGTTGTCACCTTTAATTTTGTTTTTAGATAAGATCTGAAGGAGTCAAGCTGTTTCTTCTGTGGCTTCAAGCACTTCAGACAAACTGTGCAGAAGAGCAGGTGCTGATTTTTGCTTGCCTTGTGCCTGGTTTCCCAGCAATCATGTCGTCCAGAGGGACCTGTATGGTGGAGACACTAATCAGTCCTAGCCCTGGTATGGTGGATGGTGAAGAACATTTTAGCCAGCCTTACAGGTTGAAATGACTCTGGAAGTTCTCTTGAGGGATTCCTCAGCTTGTCATGATCCTGAGTAGAAATATTTATTTCGTAGATGGGTTCAGAGGAGGAATTATCCCCTGCTCTTGTTCACAGTAATGTCTGTGAACATTTCTATTAGAATAGAAAGGAATTATCCCCTGCTCTTGTTCACAGTAATGTCTGTGAACATTTCTATTAGAATAGAAAGAATCAGAGCCATTTTTATATGAAATGAGGACGGGAGACATTTACTGAAGTGGTGGAAACAGGAATGGAAGGGAGGAATCAGATGTTGGGAACAGCAGGAAGTAGAGACACATCATGTATCTGGAGTGTTTTCTTGGCTGTGAATGAGATTTAAATCTGCCATCCAAAACTACTGTTTATTGTCCTCATCATGATTTTTTCATGAGTGGACATTCATCTGCTTACCCAGCTGTGTATTTTCATGCTGCATTCATGGAAAGACAGTAGCTGCTTCCTGGGAATAGTCATCGTAGCCATCTGTGTCCCATGAGTTTTTAAGGAACTTGCCAGTTAGGGCCATTGATTGATTAATGCATATCACTTTATTGCCTAATGACAGATCCTTAGGCTGACCAAAGCAGAATTTGGCAGGGAGAAGAATGGTTTAGAGGGAGAGGTGGCTTCATGGGACTTTGTACCATATTTCCAAACCCTTGATGCTCACTGGCCTGGAGTGTAGTGTGAGCAGGTTCCAAAG